ATATATTTATGTATGTATTTATATGAATTGTCTATTGGAAAAATATTCTAGACACATTTTTTAAAGCCCTGGGCTTAGTATATTTGTCATTTAAACATGACATTAATAGCATCCTCTCAGAGAACTGTTGATTTTGTTTAAGAGGGAAGGTCTTTAGCAAAAAAATAATATAGGTAACTGTAAATGTCCCAGAGAAGAAAAAAATTGCTGTAAATGGTACTATTTGGTCATCAGAGAGTTCAGATATGGACAGAGCATATTAGTGTTAGCAACTAGGACAATTTACATGATGCAGATTTTGTTTTGCAATGCCTTTTCTTTCAAACACCTTTATTTTTTTTTCCTCTCAGAAATAGTAAGACAGCACCCCAGCACCATTTCAAGTGCATTTCCTTCTAAAAAGTCAAGACAACCAGAATCATAGTGTTTTAGGAGCTCTGTTTTCATACTGAATCTATGATGTAATAATAAATCATAGAATCATAGAATCATTATGGTTGGAAAAGACATTTAAGATCACCAAGCCCAACTGTTAACTAACCCCACCATGTCCACTTTTAAACCTAAAAGCACCACACTTTTTAAACCCTAAGCAGCACATCTAGATGGCTTTTAATTACATCCAAGGATGATGATTCCACCACTTCCCTTGGCAGCCTGTTCCAGTCTTTGATAACCCTATCAGTGTAAAAGTTTTTCCTAACCTCTAACCTAAACTGCCCCTGATGTAATTTGGCAGCATTTCCTCTTGTCCTCTTGGTTTTAACTTGTGAGAAAAGAACCACACCCACCTCTCTACAACCTCCTTTCAGATAGCTGTAGAGAGTGATAAGGACTCCCTTCAGCCTCCTTTTATTCAGACTAAACAATCCCAAGTCCCTCAGCCACTCCTCACAAGACTTATTCTCAAGATCCTTCACCAGATTTGTTGCTCTTCTCTAGACATGCTCCAGAGCCTTAATGTCTTTCTTATACTGTGGTGCCCAAAACAGAACACAGTACTCAAGATATGGCCTCACCAGTGCCAAGTACAGTGGGACAATCACTTCTCTAGTCCTGCTGGCTATACTATTCCTGATGCAGGCCAGGATGCCATTGGCCTTCTTGGCCACCTGGGCACACTGCTGACTCATGCTCTCCTGGCTGTCAATCAACAACACCCAGTCTCTTTCTACTGGGCAAATTTCCAGTCACTTTTCCCCAAGCCTGCAAAGTCGCAGGGATTGTTGTGACCCAAGTGCAGGACTCGGCACTTGGCCTTGTTGAAGCTCATAGAATTGGCCTCAGTTCATCAATCCAGCCTGTCCATGTCCCTCTGAAGAGCCTTCCTACCCTCAGACAGATCAACATTTGCACCTAATTTGGTGTCATCTGCAAAATTACTGAGGGTGCACTCAATCCCCTCATTCAGATCATTGATGAGGATATTAAACAGGAGTCACCCCAACATTAATTCCTGGGGAACAGCAGTTGTAACCAGTCACCCACTGGATTTAACTCCATTCACCACCACTCTCTGGGCCTGGCCCTCCAGCCAGTGTTTGATTCAGCGGAGTGCACACCTGTCCAAGCCTTGGGCAACCAGTTTTTTCATGCGGAACAGTATGAAAGACTTTACTGAAGTTCAGGTAAATATCCACAGCCTTTCCCTCATGCACCAAGTGGGGTCACCTCATCACAGAAGAAGATCAGGTTTGGTAAGCAGTACTTGCCCGTCATGAGCCCATGTTGACTGGGCCTGATTATGTGGTTGTCCAGTAAATACTTTTGAGTCCAGTAAATACTTTCGAGTCCTGCTTGTGTCTTTACTGACATTGATTTGAATGGTGCAGAGTCATTATTTTTTATATAAATTTATTATTTTTATACAGTTTGTGCAATTTTGCAGTGATGAATAGGATTTTTCTGGTGAGGCTGGAATGGGATTTGTTTTCCAAATTGAGTTTGCTGGTTATGACATTCATCTCAACCATGGAGAAGCCAGTTCAAGTCACTGCCTGATCCAGGGTAGGCACTTGAAATCAGATATCCCATATCCTAAAGAACTAACCTAACTGCTTTGCTAACTTGGAGTTGCTTTTCTATTTCATACTCAGATTTTACTCACAAAAAACCTTAAAGGTCTTTTATGCAGAGGCAGAAAGTAAGAAACAGGACATTCTGTACAATAAGAAAACTGTGTTCTCCAATTAACACCACTGTTCACGTTTTACAGTGAATTTCATGCAACATAATGCAAGTACAGCCCAGTTACACACAGAAATCCTTCTACATTTGGGAAACACATTCTACAGGGAATTCCAGTTATTTTACAAACAGGAGTCACAATACCTCTGAGACTGGATATTATTAGACCAAATTTACAAGTGTGCACCTAGAGACATTGACAGCCTTGATTTTTCCAAGGTTAATGTCAATGAGGAACAACAGGTTTTCAACATCTTTGAAATCCACCTTCAGTCATTTCCCCAAGGGACATCAGCCAACAGATGAGCTAGCAACAAAACCTAAGTGTCCTGACCCATTCCCCTCCTCGGGCTACCCAAATACTGCACGACACCAGATACATTGCCCAGAGGTCCGAGTACATTTCTGCGGTGTGCGTCAGTATCTGGAACACTTACTGTCATGAGTAGTTTCTCCACACAGTCAGGAGACACACTGTGCAAATGGGTCAAATGAAGCTGGAGATGCATTTTGTTGCTGAGGACATCCTGGCAGAGTGGGCAGCAGATAACAGGTTGCATTGAGTGCTGTGACAGGACATGCATCTGGATACGGTTTGGGTCCCTACTATTGTAGTTACAATAAGGACATTGATAGAACTGAAAAAAAAATCAAATTAAGATGCAGGCTATTAGTCAGTGTGCTTTTTATAACTTGCTGATACTGCTATTTTAACAGTATATAATCTCTGTTTCATTCTTGAGTTATTTGAAAGAGATCTAGAATGCAATTAAATTTTTACACTTTCCTTTACCTGTTCATGACAAAATTTATTGTCCTCTGGAGGCTTTGATTTTTTAGCTGCACCATCCTCTTCTTTTGCCAGAAGCAGCTGTTGTGCCCCTACCACAGTGTTCACTTTTGGTTCCTTCTCTGGTGTGGCTATTCCTGTTCCGAAAACATAATTTTTAAGAACATGTTTTAAACTTTAAAATATCCTGGTTTACAAAGAGGCTGTGATTCCAAAGGTGAGTATTGTCTTTAAGGGTCTTTTTTTTTTAAGTCCTGGGAAAAAATATAGTTGAATAACACAATTCTGGTAAGCACAAAGGTAAAAATATACTTTTATCCTTGATGTAGATGATATAAACACATTTTTAAATGAACTCTTCTCTACTGTTTAGATAACCTTAGGTTGCCTTTAAAGATTAATCAATAATGTGCTTTCTATAGCAGCTCAGTATGAATTTGTGTATTACATTTAAAAAAATCAGCTTTTGCTTAAAAATCCTGTTTTTCAAAATAATTAATTTTCTGCTGTTTAATTACCCTCTCTCTTTTCTAAACTGTCTGAGCAATATGATTATTGTGCTGTTTTCATAACTCCTGCCTGTTTACAATTCTGAAGCTAAATATAGTGACGCTTTAAAAGAAATACTGTGGAGAATAGGATTTCAGAGCTAACTTAATATTAATTATATACAAAGATCAGTCATTTGGGATTGCCTTAGATGTTTACACTGTGAATTTTTATAGTCTGGCATTTGTGATCAAAACCAGAATATAACTGTTTTCTATAGATAGTTCTACTATTAAGTATTAAATACTATATTTAATATTATGCCTGAACTAGCTGTGTAATGTGGCCCAGTCTTGCACACATCAAAGAAAAGAGTGCAGTTCTAATTTCCCAGTCCATCAGAAAATTCTTTCCAGCGTCAATTTGCCAGATAATCTCTTCTGCTAGGCTGGATATTACAAGAGCATTGGGTAGGCATGTCACATACATTTCACAACAAACACAAAACCTCATTTACCAGCCATTCCAATCTCATCATAGTGCGGCATCATCTGACCTTTTTTCTGCTGTTTATTATGAGTATTTCTAATTTTAACTTTCAATTTTCACCATCTTCCAGTCAATTTGCAACTAAATTATTTCCAGGGTGAGGACACTATCACTGGACACTGGGTGCAAATACATCTTGAAATGCAATGAAGCTAAAGCATTGATTGCTATCAGACCCAACGTAAATATATAGTCCAGGGGTAATCTGATTGTATGCTGTGCATGAAGATTTATCTTGATTTTTTTCAATCCACATAAGGTTCATATAAATGAACAAATTGCACCTCATTGCACAGTAACCTAGGATTAATTTAAAAATAAGGTCATGGATGTTTTGGCAACAAAGTAAATATGAAGAAAGAAAATACTTGTAATTGTCTGTAGACAAAACCAAGATTATTTTTTTAATTATTATTATTATTACTACTACTACTACTATTATTATTATTATTTTCATATAGACTTTGAGCAGTATTGATATTACAAAAGCAACATCAAAGAGGAGTAAAGTAAGAGAACAGTTTTCAAGGTAAATAGCAAGTCCTCATGGTACAATAATAAACAATTGAAAACTGAATCATACAGGGATATTTTCTGAAGAGCACTTTTTTAAAAAAAAAACATAAACATGCTTTATGACTTATACATTAATGGTGATTTCCCCACACATTGTTTTTCATTCCTAAATTGTTAATTATTTCTTTTGGTTTAATTTAGACCAGTAATTTTTGAATGTTCTTGCTCAAATTAAAGTTTATTCCTGCCATATTTCAGTACCTTTAATGACCAATTTGTCAACATCAGTTTAATATCTGAACAAGCTGCTTTCTGGAGCCCCACTGAATTTTTACACTCCCAGGAACTGATCCTGGACACCTCATTTAGACTGCTCAGTCAGTGCTGTGCCGACGACCTGAAGGACTAGCAATGCTTAAAGGCAAAATCTGCATTATGCAATCACATAAGGCACCATTTTACTACTTACTTTGGTTTATGATAATGCACTACTCCCTGGCCTATCTGTATTTACTTGGCAGTACACCATTATTATTTAAATCTCTTAACTGTGAGAATTGTGGGAAGTAAAAAGGTGACATACTATATTAACAAAGGTTGCTTCTAGGTTTTAGAAGGATATGTTCAAATTATTAACCTCTCTTCATTTACAACTGTCAAAAAGGTCTATCAGTTGACTACTGTTTCTTATCTTTATTGTATGTCACTTTTAAAATGTCCCTTTTTAAAGACAAATAGGCCAGAAACTCAGCTGGTGTAAGCATACACTGTTATACAGGAAGCTGAATTTAAAAACCAAAATGAAACAATTCTGCCTTCTTTTCCCCTCAGATTGTTCTTAATAGGTTGTTACAGAAATTAGGATTCAAATTCTGCTGAAAAATTGACTTGTGAAAAATAATTTGACTGTGTTTTGGCAGTGGTATTTAACTTCTAGTGAAATTTAGCTTGGAATGCACTCTGTGTGCACCTGGGCACACACAAGGTTAATATTACATCGTCTTCCACCACAGGATGGAATAACATAATTACTTCAAAGGACCTATAATAATCATGAAACACATAGTTCTTGTTTCTATAAAAATAAGACTTTTTTTGCTTAAATTTTCTTTTGCAGTTAAAATAATAAAAACTTAGAGTTATAAGACACTGTGCTGGCGTCAATAAATACATAACAAAGCACAACTTTTGACTTTGTTTACTATGATGTTTATATAAACTGTCAAAATTTACAGAGGCTTTGTTGTTTTTGCTGTTATTGTTGCTCTGCAGTCATTCAACCTCAAGCACTGTTACTTCTTAAACAACCAAAGTTACATCTGGCCTACAGTAAAGTAACCCAGTCTGTGATTTATGGGAAGCTTTGCAAAAAAAAGGGGGTTGATTCTTCCCTCTGGCATGGGGACACCACTCGCCCATACACATGGTGAGAACCAAACCCTCCAAACTGAAGTATATGTGCCAAAACCAAAGGAGATCAGCTCCTTACTCAGTGGTCCAGCTATGACAACTCTCTGTTTTTGCTTGCTATATCAACTGTCTGCTTTCTGTATTGAACTCAACATTTTAAGGACTTTCCTGTAGGAAGGCTGAACAAAGTTATGGTCTTCTAGAAAGGGTATTGAAGGAGGAGGGAGAGAGGAGATAAAATATTGTGGTTCCAAGCATGCGATGTGGCACTGTTTTCGTAGCTGGATGTTCCACTGGCACACTGTTCTTACTAGGCAGCTGTAGGAAAAGGCTAAATCCAGTTGTTATTCACACTTTAAATACGCACTTTTTATTCTTGAGACACATTATTTGTTGTTTTTTTCCCCTAATTGTGAAACACAGCTGTAATTAATTTCATAATAGAAAATACGCAGCATTATTTTAGATGAATAATATAATTTCAATACGATTAGATCAAAAACTAAGTTTAATTGTAAATAAGTGCTGTGGAATAGACTAGTCAATGATTGCCTGTCAGTTACAGAATTAAATAACGTGTGTAAGATTGCTAATATAAAAATGACATAATTCACTGCAATTCAGATGCCATCACCTTTGTAACATTTTTGAAACTCCAAAATAAAAATACAAATGTTTGTGTGACTAGCAAGAAGAAGAAAGTTAATAAAATATGGATATTGTTTTAAAAAAAGAAATCCTGGGAAAGTCATAAGCAAAATACTATTTTGTTATTTATGAATCTACGTATTCGATAAAGATTGCATAATTTAAGACTTCTGACACATCAGATGATCTGATTCAGCCTCAAAATAATTCTAAAATTATAATTACTGGTAGAATATTCTTTCTAATTAGAGTAGAATGAAAGGATAATTTTCATTGCAATAATAAAGGTTAATTTCCATCCTTCCTCATGTTTACTACCTTATTAAAAAGTGCTCCCCTTAGCCATGGCAGAGACATATTACATTTTCAATGCAAATGTATTAATCTGGATAAATTCCATATTAATTCTTGCACTGCATAGAGCTGTAATTTGGATTATAATTAATCTAAAGTGGCACTAGATTTAAATGACAATATAAATGAGGCATTAGTAGGCTTTTCTATTCTGAATGAATATTCAACAAATATAACTTGCATATTGCCAAGTCTCATTTTGAAAGCTCTACTCCTTGAGATAAGGTAAGCAATACAGCACAACAGCTTACACAAACATACTGTTACTAAATACATGTTAATCCTTTCTTGTCTAATAGATTCTATGCTAAAGAGGGGTCACACCACTTTCCTGTCTAACTTGTTAGTATTGTGATTAATCTATTGGTTTTTCTGAGATTTCTTTGGCAATACTTGCAACACTCAATTCATGAGAAAGCCCAAATTAACATTCAATTATACATGAGCAGTTATGCAGTCATTAGAAATACTTGTCAGCTGAGTGAAAATTAAGACGATGGTCTGAATGTTACATATGCAGAATTAATTTAGATTAGGAAAATAAAAGTTTCTAAAACATCTAGGATTTTACAGTACAAACTATTTTCTGTAAAGCACAAAGGCAATAATGTATTTCAGCCCTTGTTTTTATATGAATCTCACTACAGTTATTTCTGGCATGTGAATGCAGAACAATTATGTTGAGGTTTTTTTTGTAGTGCACCCAGTAGGCATCTGGATATAGGTTTGTCCTAATTAAACTTGGCCCTTATGAGTGGCTAATCCTGATGGAATTTTGAGAATTCTCCTTCAGTATTTTTTTCTAGAGTCCATCTTTTATTTTTGCTGGACCTTTAATACCTTATTCTTTCTTGATCAGCTATAAATGGACCACCCTAAGAAAAAGGGAGGGCTGATAAACTCTCTAAAGCAGTTCACAGCGTTCCCTAGGCAAAGTGTATGGTAGGAAATGCAGGCTGCAGGTGGCTGTCACCCCTCTCCTGGTGAGTGTCAGGACAGCTCCTGATGAGACTGCACAGAAGGACCTATGCTGGCCTGGGAGCATGGCTTTACTGCACAGCAGACGGCTTTTACCAAGTCAGAGAGCCAGCCAAGGAGGATATACATTTTAAACCACAACACAGTTTCTTGCTTAACCTTATCTTTATCCACCTCAGCCTTTCTTCAGTCTCTTACTCACAAAAAATAAAGTGACTGAAGAGGTGCTGAGGTTCCGAACTGTGACGGGAACTGACCTTAGCATGTCAACAAGCAAACTTAAAGGAGGCTTTAATCCTTAAGTCTGTCTTCTGAATTGATTTGGCATAGAAAAGGCCACCTATAATTTCTTTTTTTAAATATATACAAAAATGTTTAATACGTAGAGAGCAAATTACAATATGGTAGAATTTGAGTGTAAAGAAACTCACACACAAAATCATATTTTCTCTACAACTATATGTCTTTATGGAGAATACAACCTCCTTTGTATGCTGCTGTCATTGGCATACAAGGAAAAGATATATGACTACCTGAAACTAATAGGCTTCAACCTGTTTCAGCACTTCTTCTGCTTCAGTGAATCCAACATAATGTAACTAGGTATAGCGTGCAGCAAAAGTAGCCAATGTAATATTCATTGTGACCATAGATTTCCATCTCATACATAAAAAGCATGGATGAAGTCGCATATTTGCCAAATCAAACACAGAAAAAGCCTTGGGTATCTACACCAGATGCTGGCCCTGGGTTTGTTTGTGCACAAGTAAATGTCATGACATAGGGGTTTTGTTTTCAAAGACAGTAGCTTTCATTACTGGGCTTTGTCTATTCCAGGAGATCAAAATTACCCAACCCATAATCCGTTTTCAATGATATTTCCTCTTTCTTAGGCTGAATCATCTGTAAACTTTTTCACTGGGTTTTGTGTATTTTTTTCAAAATGCCTCAAATAAATGCCCAGGAAGAGGCCAGATTCTTGGGAGTAGCTGATCAGAGAGCAAGAACAAAAAGTAATAATAACAAAAAACCCCACATTCTTTGGGTTAAAAGGGGAGCAAAACCTGATTGAAGAAAAAATTCAAGTGGTACCTAATCCTATGCTTATGAAAAATTAATATGCCATCAGAGGAATCACAAGTACAGCTAAGATTAATGAAAGGCGCTTAAAAAATTACAAGCACACAAACTGATTTGATTAAAAAATAATCTCACTGGTCGTCCTGTAATATTCTTCAACTTATCCGCATCTATCCTGTCAGATGGTTATGATTAAAAATAGGTCAATGGGAGGCTACTGATAGAAATCACATGCAAAATGCACATGCAATGAATAGTAGTGGAAATGTCCAGACAGTTTAAAATGAAAGAGCATTTCATAAATTAAAAAAAGGGGGAAGACAAAATTCTAGCATCTTACCAGAGTCTTTACTAGACTTTTTGCCTTCACTATTGTCTCTCTCACTTGAGTCTTTATCATCAGCCACAGCCACTGATGTACTTTTAGCAGACCCTTCTGTATCTTCATCTTGTTCTTCTGTGAATAAGCACAGAAAAGATCTTAGAAAACAAACTCAGTGACAATTTCACAGCAGTTAAAAAATACATCCTGTAATAAGAACAGCACTAAAAGAGGGTAGAAAAACAGGGGGAAGGAGAGGTGGAGGGAAGAAAAGAGAAAGGGAAAGAACAGCACATTAAAGAGGTTGGACATTGGAACTGCAAATAGTTTGGAATATTTCAAAATCCATCCAGAAATTCTGACCATGTCTTTATCAGCGTACCCACTTTCCACCAGTCTGACAGATTTAAAGCCTGTCATTTCATATCCTTTGGCTAGAAATGTTCTGCATTAAAATACACACACACATACACGCACGCACACACACACTGCACAGGCTGGAACAAAAGCAAGCAAGTGTAAAAACACATCTTGGAGCCAAAAAAAAAAATAAAAAGGAAAAAAACGGGGGGAAGAATCAAATATAAATCCTATTAGTGCAGTAGTATCCTGCTAATTGCCGTAAGTAAGTATTAGGTATTAGGTACTGTATTAAATATAAACCTCTGGCTTTGCGGGAGAAGTCTCAAATTTTGTCTCCAGGGGGAGCCATTCAGGATAAATGATGCAACCTGGCCTATGGCTTCCGAGGAAGCAGCATTACGCACACCTCACTTACCGTGTTCACACCAGCTAGATTACATGGAAATCTTCACAGTAACTCAAGTCCATTTAATTATTCGGTAAATCTTAGCTATGCTGCTACTGGTGGATTAATCTGTTTATGCAGTTAGCTTCTATGCTGAGGCTGTGTAGCACTAATCCGTGAAAGGCCCACTGTTCCTTTTCATCCTGTGATCATTTGTCTCTCACTGTGCTGATGTCACATTTTAATGAATTTTTAGCAATCTGAGTAATGCCAGATAACCAGACTTGCAACTCCCTACAGCACGGCATGCTGTTTTCATTGCAGCACACAAAAAAATAAAAATCATATTTCCCCGTTCAGGTAGGAATTAAATAAATTAGGAGGTGAGGGTAAAATGGGATTCGAAGCACCAGGCCGCTCAATTTCATAAAATCTTTAATGACCATATAAATTAACCCTGGAAAGGCAAAAGGTCACAGACACACATTTGCATACACTCTTCTATTCACTTTTGATAAGCAGAGCTTTTATGCGGGGAACATGATACAATTAACCCTTCAGGAACCACACAAAATGCAGCTACCGACATTTTAAGTGTCAAGCATTAACTGAAAATTACACACTGCATAAAATTTTCATTGTAAATGCTATAGTGATTGAAAGGGGAAATAGTGGCCCTCTTCGCACCCCATGTTTTATTAATAACATTCTGACAGCCGAATGAGATATCCTCTGTCATATGTAGCAGCTGAGCACAAAAAAATTGCTGCTTAGTGCCTTACTTGCCAGCCATGCACTGAAACTGTATGCCTAGGCAAACAACCTTCAGATTGATGTGGTGAACCTATTCGATTCTCAACTCTCTGCAAAACCTTTTGTAAATCGGAAGACTGCAATTTTGGAAACCAAAAAAAAATTCTCAACCACAGATCAATGTGTTTTGCATTGACATCGAAATACAATAGGTTAGGACTAAGCATGCGTGTCCACTTTATGGAACAATGCAGTGAGAAAGATGGTCCCCTCTTTTAAAAATAATTGCATATAAAAAAAAGAATTTCCATCAGAATGGAAACCCCCCTCCGCTGTTTCAGCACTCTCCCCCCTGTGGTCCCCCACCCCCTCCTGCGATGATAGCTAATCAAACATGGTAGGCATCCCTGTCACAGCTGGAAGCAGGGCTGTGTTTGTCAGGGTGGCGGGGGAACGCGGTTCAGGATGCTGTGAGTCTGTGATCATGCCTGGCTCGGGCTGTGTTAATGCCAAGTGTGCACACATGAGGCTCGTATCCAGTGTCAGGCCCCGTGGCCTCATGGAGCCGATGGCAATCCCTTTTCGACTCATCCTTGGGAGCGAACGCACTGCTTCTTTTACTAGATTTACTGACCCAATCCCCCTGGGCTGGAAAATGAAGTGTCAAAGTGCTACTGAGTGTCCTTATCTTGAGGGGACATAAAATTGTAAGGGCTATCGTGGCACACATTAATAAAACATTGTGTGTGTGTCAGGCAAAGAGAATGAAAATTATGAAGGTACTAAAAGAAAAGCTACAGTATCATCTGGGTCTCATCAGACAATTTTTTCAGGGTGCTCTCCTGTTTTTCTGGTATGTGTTTTAAGTGTGAGAGAAATTCCCAGACATGTTCTCCTATACATCATCATGGTGTCTGACCTCAGCCTGACCCTGGCAACAGTTTGAGAAATCTGAATGTGAACAAAGACTCTGTGTCAGCAGCAGGGAGAGATTGCGGGATAGACTTTCCCCATCAACTTAATCGCAAACAGCAGCTCTGAGGCCATAACTTTACAGGGCTCCACCAAGCCACAAACACATAACCTTTAGAGGTGAAAATGCCCCCTGCTCCCCACCCCCCCCTTCTGTGATTTTTCTCAGTCTTGTGGTGCTCCCTTTGATGTAGCAAGGCAATTAGCTCTAATGTTCAAGTACTGCAGACCTGTTTTATGGTTTGGAAGGTGAGAGCTGTTTATTACAGGTAGGCTCCTGGGGGCCATAAAGGCTTTGCAAATTTTTAATCATGCAAAAAACTAATCAAAATGTAACTTATACACACCATAAACATTAATATCATTATTATGCACGGTATAAATTGCCTGCCTTGGCTTTCAATGGCACTCACTTCTAGAAAATACATTTGCCATTCATTTCAGAAATGTGTATGGCATTCACTTCAGAAGTAAATTTCATGGACAGAAATGATAATACAACTTCTCCTATTTTCCTTCAAAATTACAGAACAGCTATCTAAGATTCACACTGTTGAGATATTTATCAAAGGGACAAGATGGAAATAGAGCAGCTCTAACTTGAAAACAGTTAGCAAATTACAAAAAAATATCCTTAAGACAATTCGTTAGAACAAATATAGAGGTTATGTAATTATGTATGCTCTTAAAGACCCTACATACCTATGTCAAGATGCTACAAACATCTCTTATGAGTAACATTTTTGTTCTTACTTCATATGCTAACCAACAAGGATACTATTCGGTTATAAAAATGTGATGGCCTCTGCTCAAAGACACAAAATTATGAGTTATTATATATCAAAAAAATACAGTATGATGGTGCTACAGATTCCAGACCAAGTCCTAATGCTCTGGTTTAAATTTACAAGAGCCCTGCCTATATACATTTACAAATGTCAGCTTTGAAAATGAATAGAACACTGGATTCAAATGTACTTTAATGGCTTTAATAACACTTACTGTTGCAATATGATCTTTTATTCACACCTGGTACTATTTTGTCCAAATGTTGAAAATTTCTTTTGATGTAGGATCTCTTGAGTTTAGCCATTACCAATCTTTTTCCTCACAATTGACTTAGAATTAAGCACAAAAATAAGGTTAGCAGTCTGCACTAAAACTGTAAAATAAGGGGAAACTGAAAACTTAAGCTTCAGAGGTAATGTTAAGCATCTGATATTGCATGTTATATATTCTATGTCATATACTTTGTTAATCTAAACGCTCAGGCCTCAATTCTATACTGATTTTATGAAGAAAAACTCTTATGACATTCCCCAGACCAATGAAGTCAAGATGTGTGATGATTTCAGTTGCAAAATCCAGGCCTCAGCCAAAATTGCATAGCAGATACCAGTAGCAAAATTATTATTATGATTATTATTAATAATATTCATACACAGATTAGAAAAGCCAGATTTACTGAGATACAAATAAAGGAACAAATGCATTCACCATAGCCAAGAGAAGGTATAGAGAAACAAATAATACTTTTTGAAATAAAATACTGAATAGTTAAAACAAGACATTGCTGAATTGAAACAGTCTTCTCTCCTAAAATTTAAATGCATTGTGATAATCACAGAGGTATATCAATCACCTTTCCCCGTGTTTTATCAAAGAAGTTTCCCTACTGATGAGCAGCATTGGGAGTCTATATTCAAGTCTACTTAAGAAACATATTATTTTCAAGGGTCGATTCTGGTTGGGGTTTTTTTTACATCACTGATAAATCAATCAACAGTCAGTGGTTCCTGTTTTGGTCCTGGATTTTGTTGTCGTTGGTGGTATCCCTTTTGCCCTCTCCAAATTGCAAATAATTTCCTAAATAAGGATGATCTATGAGTTGTGGGTGAGTAATTGTGGTTGTGAGAGGGAAAGTAAGATTAAGCAATTGTTTGTGGCTGTGGGCCGGATGGATAGGGAAGTAATAAATCAATCAGCTAAAGTAGTAAGTAAATAAATATGAAATAAGAGACAGATTTTTAAAAATAATTGGGGTTGGTTATTCAATATGTTCAATAAGCAGCTGAATAAAAGTCACCCATAAGTGTTCAGCACAGGTGTATCCCAGGTTCAACCGGTAGAGTGAATGGCTTATTAATATTAACTGTCAGGATGAGAGGGTAACACCTAGTCAAGGATAATGAAAGGTTAGATTGCAGGGATGGACAGACAGCAGACAAATGTAGGGAA